TCTAAATGCAGAGCCGGTTTGAATTGCAATGGAGGGACGTCCCAGACAATCTTAAAGCTACTCAATCACCAAGCCAAATATTTGATGGGCTTCTCCAGCAGTCACCGCAGGGGCCTTTTCTCCTTGTCACTCATGTCTTTTTCTTAAATAGCGGGGAGTCTCTCTCTGCATCTTATCTTTCTCTCATGAGATGTGCCATCCCTGCAGACACTGAAGATATTGGGGATATTTTATGGTAGTGGTCTGTCACTATAAAAGATCCTTTAGCCTTGAAGAAGCAATATGGCATTTTGTTATTTAGTTAATAGTCATTTTTCTTGCTGCAGGGTCAAAGTGTGGATCTGGTTGCACCATTAAGTTCTACAAGAGAAAAAAAAATGACTGGTCAGAGGTTCCTCTTTTATAGCTCAAGAGACTCATTTACACTAGCGTTCAAAAGTATGGGGTCAGTAAGATGTTTTAAAAAAAAAAATGTATTCAGCAAAGATGCATTCAGTTGATCAAAAGTAGCAGTAAAGACATTTATAATGCTACATAAGATTTCTATTTAAAATAAATACTGTTCTTTTGACCAGAAAAGTTATCACGGTTTCCACAAAATTATTAAGCAGCACAACTGTTTTCAAAATTGATAATAATAAGAAATGTTTCTTGAGCAACAAATCAAGCATATTAGAATGATTTCTGAAGGATCGTGTGACACTGAAGTAATGATGCTGAAAACTCAGCTTTGCCATCAAAGAAATAAATTATATTTTAAAATATATTCAAATAAATTATTAAATTATTATTAAGGTATTAATTAAATTAATGGAAGTATTTGATGAGAAATGTTTGGGTTTTTATTGCGATCTTTGAATTTAGTTTGCAGATGTTGATAACCTGGCAAATCAGAGCACAATTTGAGACACTGATATGTGTGAGTTTACTGGGTTCTGTTTCTCAAAAAGTCACAACAGGATTTAATCAGTTTAATCTCCAATAAATCTCTTTGCTTTCTATGAGAAGCAATAGACAAGATCTCATTTAATATTTTTATTTCTTAAAGGCTGTTTTCTGAAACCGCCATCGGCCTAATAAATGTTAAATGTCTTATTAATATCACGCTTGACACATTTTGTATTGGACTATGTCCCTTACTCCATCCGGATCGTTATTTCTGTGATTCTTTGAATGAAGAAAAGCTTGGAATCTAATCTTGGAGCATCACCGAGTAGAAAGTAGAAAGGCAATCCATGCTTATCATACCCTCTGCTATTGTTGAGAAGAAGAAAAGCGGAAGACATTTCCATGCCGTTTTTCTCTCTCGCCATCTCCGCAAGTCTAGCGAGGCTGAACCTACGAGGGAACGTTAATTAAAAGGATATACAGAGAAGAACAGCACTGCGAGATAGAACCTTTCCTCTTGAATTTGGATGAGAAACTTTGACAGCTTTTCATCTTCGTCTCTGGCTTACCCAGCCATCCCTCTTCTTTTCCTCCCCATCTGTTTTCTTTTCTTCTTGAAGTTTGCGATGGAGCCTTTTTTGCTTCTGTATATTTCTACCTTCTCCAGCATCATTAATTTGGTTTTATACATTTTATACACAAATATCCCATGTCTCACCTTGAGATGCCATTCAGCGCAGTTGTTTTTAAGCCATGTACAGATGTACCACCAGCTAATGGCCAAAATCAATTGGAAATGAGTTTAAATTACTTGATAGTTAATATGGATTATTTTGTGAATATTTTATGACTCATTTATGCCTTTTCTGTGTCATTTTGGAGCTCGACAGACTCAGTCCTCATTCACTTTAACTATAGTGAAAAGAGTAACTTCTTCAAATATTAATATTCTTCAAAAATGTACCTTCTGTGTTCTACAGAAGAAAGAAAGTTTGGAATGAGGTGATTAATGACTGAATTTTCATTTTTGGAGTGAACTCTTTTTTTTTTAAATCACATTTGCTTTGTACTACACTGAAAAATTGCCAGCACTAGAGCTTAACAGTGGGATTCCAAAAGTAAAAGTGCTATATTAAAGTTCTCCATCGTGTTATAGATTTTTTTTTTTGTATTAAAATAGATTTTAATGCTATCTATTAATATCTATATGTAATAGATAGTTTACATTTTTATAAAAGCATTACAGATACTTGCTTTATGTCATCAGTAGCTCTTTCATTCCCTCATAAGTACACAATCTTGAACCCTTTTTCACAGTTTTTATTTAGGTTGATTGCTTTGGTTAAACTCCTTGTTGAGGAGTTTTAGAAATGCCTTTGGAGATAAATACAAACCTAGGCTTCTACAAAATGGTAACTTAGGGCTGCATTCGTAGGTAAAATATAGGAACAAAGGCTGATTATTTAAAGCAAAGGAATGACATGAGAGACTATTGACCTGATAATGATGGTGGATATGAATCTTCTTGCCCTTCAGCTTTATTTTTTTATTGCAGAGTGCCACATGGGACTGTGCGCTGGTTAATTATCTAGAATCAATAGTTCAGCTATGAACCAATTACAAAATCCCACCAGAGAGAACAGGACAATACACTTATGGATTATGCATCAGCATTTTAAGTTGTACTAGACAGAAAAAAAGTTCACAACTTCCACAACTTCAAATAATGATAAATTAGCTAAGCTTTTCCTTTTACTTGCACAAACAATCAGCTCAATTTTGTGACCTAAGAGTAGGAATCAATGAATCAACAGACATTGTTTAAATTTGCTCATCTGTGCATTTTCCTTTTTCAGGTCTTGAGGGACCGGGTCTCAAACAGTATGGCATGGATACATTGTTTATGATATTGGAATATTAATAGTGTTACGTAATTCCCCAGCTTCCTTCTGTCTCCTTTCCCTGTTTACGGCCCCAGTCCTCCAGCTTTGTTCGTGGCAGCGCATGTCAATCATCTGTCAGAAGTAGAATAGGGCTGTGGCGGGTAGATCAAGGTTTCAGATCAGGCCTTTTCCTTTTTCAGACTTTGAATTTGTTTGTGAGTTCAGTGGTTTAAACAAGGTTCCAAAATGTTTTTTTTTTTTTTGCAGTGATGCCATATAACTATTTTGGTTGCCCAAAGAAAAGTTTAGTGAACAGTTCTTAAAATAAAAAAGTTTTCTTAGTGTGAAGAACATTTTAATTATTGGAGTGTCTATTAACACTAAGTGCTAATAGCCCGCCTTGCTGGCAGAAGCTATTTACACTAACCCTGCCCACCAATGTATGGTTGGGACAGACAACATTACAAAAGATGCCCGTCAAACAGCAGCCTCAGTAGCGTAGGTTGTAAGGCGCGTAGCGGTAACTTTTGACGCAATCGATCCGAGTTCGAATATGCCTTTTGCCAAGCTCGTTCTTCTCCCTTTTCCCATCACATATCAGATCGGAAATGCATTTATTTTCAATAAAAATTAAGGAAATATTCGAAAAGTGGAAATAAAGTGCCTCAGTATTTTTTTAATAATAAAGTGTTTATGGGGTATAGTGGTAGGATTAGGGTAGGTGTGGAGGTCTTTATTGTCCCAATAAGGCATCAACCATTTCATAATTTTAATCAAAATGATCCATTACACTCAATACATTATTACATACTCATCCTGAGCATCCCAAACAGAGCCTCTTTTTATTTTTTGTATATTCTTGTTTTAAAAGTGTTTCAATTAGTGTGATTTAGCACTCATAAGATTTTAATGAAAAGATCACATGACATGATTTGTCTCAATAGGAGGTTTAACGACTCTGTTGGGGGCTCTGTAAAATCGGTTGAAATGAAGCAAGTTTTGCAAGCTTTGATAAGAAGTGTGTGTTCAGAATAATGTGTAAGAGATAGAGAGGGCATTACAATGGTTCAGGCCTCATCAGTGTTAAAATCAGTGAGTAACAGGGGAGAAAACTGAGGAGAGGAAGGAGGAAGAGGAAGTGTCAGTGGGTGGACACAGCTCTCTAATCTTAGTGTCTCTGGAAAACGTGCTCTTAGCTTTTCAACTTTCCCTTTTATTTGCTCTCCCTCTCTTCTCATCTATCTTTCTCTGTCCTAAAGTAAGACCTTCCTGTGGAAATGTAGCAACATTAAATGTTCTGTTAACCCATCGCCTTGAGGGCCCTAAGTGTGTTTTATGCTTAAATACAAGCATTTCCAAATGTTTATCCTTTAGGGAAGTTTATAATTTTTAGGTAAGACAATTTCCATAGATCTTAGATGACAGTAAGAGCAAAATGCCCTTATGTAAGTGATAATGTACAGTCTAAATATGCAACTAGCCAGCAATTATCACAGAATAAATCCCAGCATGAATGGAAATAAATAAATAAATGCACATGAAATATTAGAGTGGAAATGATTGTATTATGTGAAATGAAAGCGAGGCTGATGGTATGAAATATGAGACAAATTATTTAATTATATATATATATATATATATATATATATATGTGTGTGTGTGTGTGTGTGTGTCTTATATGCACCAAGGTTGCATTTATTTGATAAAAAATAAACAGTAAAAGGATTGTTTACTATTTTAATGTATTTTAAAATGTAATTTATTCCTGTGATGTAAAGCTGAATTTTCAGCATTTATTCCTGTGATGCAAAGCTGAATTTTCAGCATCATTACAGTGTCACATGATCCTTCAGAAATCATTCTAATATGCTGATTTGCTGCACAAGAAACATTTATTATCAAAGTTGAAAACAGTTGTGCTGCTTAATATTTTTGTGGAGACCTTGATTTTTTTCAAGATTCTTTGATTTAATAGAAACTCCAAAATAAGTTTTTTTTAATAATAGATTTTTTTATAACATTACAAATGTCTTTACTTTCACTTTTGCCCAATTTAACGCATCCTTGCTGAATAAAAGTATTAAATTATTTTTACGTTTGTAAATTTCTGCCTGGAATATTGCTTAGATCATTCTCTTTTTGAGTTTTTGTTATATGAAGGGGTTGGACTAAGAAGTTCAAACTATAATGTTGTTTTTCCTTTTATCCTTTTGTTTATCTGTCTCTTAGGAAAGGAAGTTGTGCGCACATCCATTTCTAGAGATCTACCGAGGGGGAATGATCCACTATATGGGTCCGCTGGCTCGGCAGGGTGATTTCTATGTTCCCGAAGTTAGAGAGGCCCAAAGATGGTTATTGGGAAAAGAGTCTGAAGAGGACGGGAGGACAGACATCACAGGTAAACTATAATTATTCAATTCACAGATGCTTTCTTATCTAAAATCACTCACATTACTTATTACACTTATTAAAGGAATAAAAAAGTTTAACCAAGGCTTTCTTTTGATTATCTGCACACTTTAAGCCTTATTTTAGCTAAGAACCACCCATTTTGACAAGAAGAGATTGTCTAATTGATGTACATAAACTATTAAACAAAGTTTGTTTGGTTTTTCAGAGACATTAGTATGAACGTTTCGATTCCCAGCCAAGATAACCACCCAAGTACTCTCCAACTGTTTATTGAGCACTATAGTAGCCTATCGTCAATTTAACAAGTTTGCATTTAATGCGACGAGTGTGTTTCAGTGGTTGAAATTAAGCACCACAGTAGGGCTGCACGATTAATCGAATGCGATTGTCATGCGCATTTTGATAGTAATGCCGGTTCTGTAATCAGCAGAAAATTATCATCACGGGCTTTCAGATGGCAGGCTTAATTTCTCCACCGATGTCTCAAGCCCTTCAGTGACATTTAGAGAGAATTTTTTTCTCTGTATTAGGGCTGCACGATTAATCGAATGTGATTGTTATGCGCAATTTGTTTGTAAAGCCGGTTCTGTAATCAGCAGGAAATCATCATCACGTGCTTTCAGATGGAGCAGAATTTACTACACATAGCCGTAGTTCATGGACAAGTTACACAAAAAAATCGCAGACGATTTTATTGCGCGATTATTAAATTGAAGAAATCGTTTGCGATAATGACAGCTGTTTGCATAGCTTCTCAGTGAACTACGGCTCTGTGAAGTAAATGCTGCTCCATCTGAAAGCATGTGAAAATACCACATTTAATAACATATTTTTACTCCAAACTCAC